TAATTATGAACCTTCCCAAAAAACTTATACATATGCCAACAGATGCATATTCTTTTCCTAAAGGGGAGAGTGAAACTATTTATGCTACTGTGTACCTTGCTTTGGTCTCGTGATTAAATTTAAGCACCTTCAGACCTTTTCTTTCAAAACCCTAAGTTCTCTCTGACATTCTAAGGCTGTTTCGGGTTCCTACGAGGAGCTGAACGCCATGCCCGTCTGGCGAGGGGAGCGCAGACTCGCAGGCAGGACGCTGGGAAAGGCGGGGTGGCGTAGAGAGGAGGGGTGGGCGCCAACAGGTTAGGGATCTGGAAGGGGGATAAAAGTGAGGATGTAGATGACTCTGTAGTCATTCACCCATTTATGACAAGGTACTCGAACATCCAATGACAATTCTGAGGGGACGTGGAGAAACTGAGGCTCAAGTCAGCCGCAGCTTCGTGGCCGTTAAATTTCCTCAACTCGGTTCTTGCTTTCTCTTCCACGCGTCGCGGAATGAGGGACAGCGAACACTGCTGTGCGTGGGACGGACCGCTCCCTCTCCCGACTCCTGACCTACCTTCCACCCAGAGTTACGAATGTATTTCCCAGCCACCCTCGGAGTGAAAGGCTGCGTGGCTGGGCTCGGGCGATAGGATAAAACACGTGACGTGTGCACCTGCTGGGTCGTGCCCCTGCCATTCCTATCCCTTTCTTGCTGGAACGTACATATGGGTGACGTGGGGACCGATGCTGACAGGACACCAACATCAGACGAGGCTGCTCTGTGACAACAAAATAAACCTTGTCCGAAGGGCCAGAGTCGAAAATGAGTATTTGCCAAATCTTGGGACACATTCAAAAAAAAAAAAAAGTCATCCACCGAAACTGAGCAGTCGAGGCTGCCAAGAAACATATCTGAAAATTTGCCCAAATCGATGCGTTCCAAACCTACGTTCCACATGAAGAAATACTCTTCCATTGGAATCCAGCACACAGACGCACATATAAATCTAAAACAGAAGTTTCCTGGAACAACACTCACCTTCACTGCGTGTGATTCTAGTCTATTGTCTATTCTATTTCATTTTTAATAAAGTTGGTCATAATTCACTAAATTGTGCTATAAAAGCACCGTGGTAACAGGTCTTAGGTATATGCCAAATTCAGTTAATTGTGATGGCATTAGAGTCCATCTCATTAGAGAAACGGAGAGAACTTCATCGCACGCATTCATTCAGCAACGATTAGTGAGCCAGGCCCTGTTCTCTCGCTGGGGGACAGCAGTTAACAAAACAAAGCCCCCCACCTCATGGAGCTTACATTACGGAGCTGTGCTTGCATTAAAATGACTAGTCGTGGGTATTTGCACTTGAATGAATTAAAATCAAGTAGCCATAAACATCGGCTCCACAGCTACGCTTAGACACAGCTCAAATGCAGAACAGCCCTTCGGGACAGCTCTGCTCTGAAGAATCTTACCTCGTAACTTAACTCAAGCAATGACTTGTTAGCAGAGCATAAAAGTCTAAGAAGAAGGAGCAATGAGAATTCATTAACGTATCTCAAATGAAGGGATTCAAACCACACGCCAAGAACAGACCAGCTTCGCTGGCTCATCCCTACTCACCTGTCACAATCATATGTGGCATTCCAACCCCCTCGCCTAATTTCTATCAAACCACATTTTCTGGAACTTGGCTATTTTCTACACTTCGTCTAAACAGCTAGGAATTTCTCATCCTAAATTACTGGTATTCTGGGTTGCAAATCAATCTCTTGTGGGTTTGAACTTGACGCCAGTGGGCAAAGTGAAGACCTCTAAGCTGAGAACCAGGCCCTTTGCACTGTGGGCACAGCAGGGACTTCTAGCTGCCTACACTGTTCCTTAACAACACAGGCCTGGTTTTATCTGAGGTGGTGATGAGCCAGTGTTAATGAGCTAGAAAACTACAGTTCGCTGCTCTCCTTGCAACTAGATTAACGCCCGTCGTTGTTCAGCGGGGTTTCTAGAAAAGCTCCTTAAAGGGAAACACGCAGCTGGCACACACCCCTTTGGTCCCTCCCCTCTCCTTGCTGCCTGCAAGATGGCTGGGATTCCAGAGTCTGTGGCAGACGCTGTGGATAGTGGAGAAGAAAGGCAGATGCTGGGGCTCTGATGCCCATGAAGCCACCATGGCTTCACACCTTCAGTCTGGACTGCATACTCCTGAATTTCTTTTATAAGAGACAATAATCCCTCACGTGGTTAAGCCATTGTGGTCATTCCCTAACTGACAAGATGGCGACTCCTCCCAAAGCTCTATCTCACGGGAGGACTTGTGTGAAGAGGCCAGAACGTGTTCTTTCAAATCGCTTTAACTGCACGAGAAACCAAGTCGTATTCAGCTATAAAGTTTAGGGCAATCTTAGATTTTGTTAGAGATCACTGCTTCGTAAGGAATAAAATGGTATAAAAAATTCAAATGCTGCCCGAGAGAAAGCCAATCAGCTTAGGTAAATGCCAAACACTTTCGATTTGTTGAGTGGTTTGCAATTAGTGACAATTTCCCTCCTTTTCTGTTAGTTGGTGTTCTAAGTCGGTACTTTCAAGGCACAGCACAGATTTTCCAGGCCACAGCGTAGTTTACAAAATATCCTGAAATTCAAATCAGTTTCCTAAGAGTTCATGTTTTACAATGTCTACTCACTGATTTGCCTTAAGCTACTAAATATGAACCAGAGATAGAAGTATCTTAAGGAGCAAGCTCAATTCTTTCAACGATCCACTATTAATGTTGTGATTAAACAGAAAAATGTCTTTAATACAACATCTATCAACTAAATCCCCAAGGACCTCAAAATAGCATAGGGGTTAATGGAATAGTTTCAGGAACACTTTGAAAATAAAATTTGGGAATAACTATGCATCCAAATTGAACCAATATTTGTTGATAATCTCTTGACAATGCTAAGTAATTTTTTGTTAACTCCCCAAACTCTTTTGACTCACAAAAATTCCATTAAACTCTTAGGAGGCTGACTTTCCCAAGATCATCGGACTAGGAACAGATAACGTCAAGCTCTCAACCCACGGTGATTGGATGCTAACCTCATATTCTTTTTTTCTCTGTGGCTACTTTTATAAAACTTGAAAAAAATCTTTTTAATTGAACATAAAGCTGGAAAGTAGAGGGAGTAACATTTGAGGGTACTGTATGGGTAGAGGAATATTTCTGCATAACTTGAAAATCACAAAGCTGAGGATAATAATTAAGTTGCGATATGCCTGGGTTAATAATGTTCTATTCATACAACCCAGAAATAATCAAGAGGTCTGAGAGGTCCTTCATGAACCACCTGGCAGATAATGTCCACTTTTCAGACCTCCTCCAACCCATTTTAGCTTCCTCCCTGTTACCTAGTGTCCTCTGGGGCCCCCACCTTCCCGGAGGGCCCCATTCCAACACTCTTCCATTTTTGACTCCTATCATCCGAGTTCACTGTCCTGTGCCCTGCTCGTCCACAAGGGCGGCTCTCTGCGTGGGCTGCACAATTGGATTTAGGGAAACTTCTTAACGTGTTGTGTTATAATCACCCGGTTCTTTGCTTTACCACAACAAAATTTTCTGCACTTTTCTCACTGAGGCTGTTTTTGTACAACTTGAAAAAGTGTTTTAATTGAACATAAAACTGGAGAGGAGCAGAGCACAGAAACATTTGGAGTGGAACGAGCTCTCGGGTTTCATACTGGTATGCATCATTGCCTTAAACCAAAGAGATGACTAAACAGGGAAATTGGCCTTTTTTCAATACCCAGCAACTGGGTGTACGGTCCAAATTACACTTGGGCAGGTGGGAAGCTCCATATTTTTATGTTTAAACTTCTAGCGCCTGGGATAGAATTTCATCTTAAAGCGACAACATACCCACCTCCCTCTTTTTTTCCCAAAAGATATAATTCAAGACCAAGTGCAAAACAGAATAGCTCTTTAGGAATCCGCAAGCTTACAAATATAGGGCCAAACTGAGATGGGAAAGCTGTGCCCACTCTCACGACAGCTTCCTTTCTCCCAAGTCCCTTCCCACAGACCTTGGACCTCCCCAGGGGACTGACTAGAGGAACCGCCTGGACCCCACTACCCTGACCCAGTTCGGCCCCACAAGGCGTCCGGAAACTCCAGCTGGGGCAGCCTCTAGGGCAAATGCTGACAAGTTCTCGGAGGCCCTCGGAGACCAGAGGCTGGCGAAAAGCCCCGTCCCCTGCGCTCATCTTCGTGGACTGCCTCGTGGTCTCCACGGCCTTAAGGGGCCACCCTCGGTAAACGTACAG